CTTGCTTACTCTTTCCGAGGGTTGGACCCTTTTGGACGCGTGTTACGCAAGAAGTGGGGGGCCGAGAGGAGGGGATAGCATCGACTCGAAATTACCACGGAGACGGTATGAAGACGGGATGGAAGAAACGGTAGCAGTTTTATTTGTTTCCCGATGACTGAATACCGCGGCGCGCCTGTTTGTTTGACCGGTTGAATAGAGTTTAATAGTTCTACTCTTTTTACTTCGTATTACCGATTGATGATAATTGGTCAAAATTGTTTTTACCGTTTAACTTTTACCATTTGAATGTAATCAACACGCTTCGCGATTCTCGAATTAGATGCATTCAAACATCTTCTTAAATGTAAATAAATTATTCATAAACGTGCGAATACTATTGTTATTTTTCACAGAAAAAGATAAACGTAAGATGTAAATTAAATTCTTTATAAAAGTGTATCTACGTTGAGAGAATTTCTAATGAAATTTCTAATGAAATTAATAACCAAAATGTCAAGATATATCAACAGCCATATACTAATTTATTCTTTGTAATAAAAAAATATATATGCGCGAAAATTAATAAAATTCCACAAATAATTTTTTCTTGGACAATTGTTCCAATCGAGGAGATGTCCTCGCCCTACACGGACAAGTTCATTGCTAGTGCTCACAGGCACACATTGCGTCATAATTATTATCGTTGACTAGCTAATATCGCTCTTCTACGTTTCGCGGAAAAACATGTAATTTGCTGCGCTACTAGAATTCGCTCTAGACACGTAGCAGTGCGCGTTTAAACGCGACACACGCGTTTCAGATGTCCGAAAACCTGACGCAAGTTCCGGAGATACTCGTATTGCTAAATGTTGCGTCAGTTGTGCCCCATAGCACAGGAGCTAAAACGAGAAATGGAGGGTAGATTCGATGGGGTAGAATCTTGCCGACTTTGGCAAGATAAATCCGCCTCGTAAAACGCGGAAAAGGCGGTGCTAGTCAGAAGTATCTTCCGTGAACGAGGGGAGGAAAAGAGAGAGAGAGAGAGAGAGAGAAACGGGCATTGGATTCTAATCGATAAGAGGGATCTGCATGCAAGCGTAAAAAAAAAACATAAAGAGCACTTACCTTGCGTGATTAGCGGCGGTAATCGTTTAGTTTAGCTAAAAGAGTTCGGTGAACGAAAAATAGGTGTCGTGTAATCTGATGGAGGGGATAAATAAACTGAAGGCGTTTTCGAAGCCAATGAACTTTCCTTCCCTTTCGCTAAGGAAATATACGCGATATTTGTTTTGTTATGTTATACAAAGGGAGGGGGGGGATATTTGAGAAGAAAGATATCGAGCTGGTCTTTTTTCTCGATCGTAAAATAATAAGTTTCATCCAACGATCCTCCACCTTTAAAAGTATCACGTTTTAAAGATCAAAAGATGCAAAAAAAATTAATCGTGCGACAGATAGAATAATTGTAGCATGCACAGAAATAAGCAGGAAATGGAAGATACTCCGTAACACACGCTCATGCAGGGGGGAAACGTGAAACGTGATTAAAGATAGATTGATCCTACCTTAGAATGTAATTTACACAGACGACGGACAATGGTTTTTGCTGCTTGGAACAGTGAATTAGAGTGGCCTGTGTCACGACCCAAGCGTATCCTCCACGTTTCCCGAGGAATCTGTAGGCGACCGTCTCGCATTGACCCTTGCTGAACACTGAAACAAATTTGAATCGGATTTGAATCAGATTCGGCGCGGCCAAAGATTCTTAACGCTCGACGGGATTTCGAGGGGTTTTATAGCCTTCGTCTGCGATACTGCGCACGCAACGTGGATGACGAAAGATTCGCACAGGAATTACCAATCTCTCGCGCGTGAAATTTTAAACGGGGCGGGGCGATTGTGGAATCGAATTATCGTTGAAAAAACGCATCGTAATCGTTCATCGATATCACCTCTGAATCTAGCGAAAGTTTTCTCTTATCAAAGTTTTCGCTATTCGTTTTAGTGGAATAAAACGAGATTATTCTACCGTGAATTTTTATATCGTTTCGAGCCAGCTTATCGAGGATGAGAAGGTTCCTCGAAGCTTCCCTTATCGCGATCCGCAGGAGGAATGGAACGCTGGTCCCTTCTCGTAAATCGAGAGATGGAAAGAGAGATTACATTCGATCACGAAATGGACCACGTATCTGTGGCGAGACGGTATAAAAACTTGGCAGAAAGCGTGGATCTATAAAGAAAATTTCTAACTATTTAATTAAAAAAAGAAGAAGAAGAAAGAAAAATAACGGAAGCGATAAAAAAATATTTGCTCCTAAAATTCTTGTTAATAAATTGCTGCTCTTGAAATCTTTTATAGTGTCGTTCACCCGATATAAAGATCATACAATTCCTCTAAACGCCTACAACTCATCTTTCTTTTTTCTTTCCACGTCGATCGATACCATCAGATGATTTCCGCTCGAAACGTGTTTCAAGATTTTACGATCCTAATGAGCTTAGAAAAAAATTTCCCTTATTAGTTTTCAAATCGTTAAAAAAAAAAGATCATACAATTCCTCTCGTCTAAACGCCTACAACTCATCTTTCTTTTTTCTTTCCACGTCGATCGATACCATCAGATGAGAAGGGATTCCGCTCGAAACGAGGTCACGTGTTTCAAGATTTTACGATCCTAATGAGCTTAGAAAAAAATTTCCCTTATTAGTTTTCAAATCGTTAAAGAAAAAAAAAAAAAAGCTTTGGAATCAACAGTTAGTAAAGAGTTTATACGCACACGCGAATGAAAGATTAGCTAACTAAAATAGCGAACGAGCCGTGAACGTTCGCGTTTATTCAAATGACCGTCAATTGGCTTTTACTCACGTGATTTAAAAGATTTATCCAGAGCCAAATTGTCGAGGGCGTGATAGAACTCGAAAACGGATTGTCCCACTAACTCCTCGCTGTTCCAACCCAGATATTCGGCCAACCTAACGTAAAACATTTTTTTTTTTTTTTTTTTTTTTTCCCCAATATTTATCTCATTTTACGGTTACAACTTTCACGATCTGTGTGAAATGAAAACTCACTTTTCGTCGGCGTACGTGAACTTCATGCTGAGGCTATGCTTGGAGAGGAAAGTGTGACGTCCCAACGGTATCTCGATGTTGCTAGGGTGCGGTATGGGACATCCCAAGAGGACCAACGAGGCTCCGGTGTCCCTTTCGTTCCCCTCCTCGTCCTTTTTATTTTTCGTGTCGTCGTTCTCCGACGAATTCGATATCGGATCCCGGATATACGTTAATCTACCGGTACAATGAATCACCTGGACAAAAGAAAAAAAAAAAAAAAAAAAGCATCGCATAATAATTAACCATTGTTGTCTTCCTTTATTCATTCGCGTGGCTGACGAACCACGTTGAAAAAGTTTTCTACCTTGTAGGAAGCGCTTTTCAGATTGACCTTCCTTCCTTTGCTGGTCAACGTGCACTTAAGCCGTAAGAAAAAACTGCAAGCACGTTTTTCGCTGTTCTCGAGTACAGGTTTCGAGGACAGGCATTCCCGCAATTCTTCGTGGTCGCACGGATGGCTGTATTCGTACACGCTTTGACCCATCATATCCATCTGAAACGAGCATGAACGGTTAAATAAAGGTTATCTCTCTCTCTCTCTCTCTCCCTCCTTTCTATTCCTACTTTCCATCATTGGTAAATATTTCTTTCCGTTTTACCGGGAAAAACGCACCTGGGAAATGCCAAGATAATCGCTCACGTTCTCTGACAGGTAGATCATGTTTCCATCGCTGGAAAGCACCAACATGAATCCATTTAGAGCTTTGGAAAATAATTCGTCCATTTGATTCAACGTTTCGGATTTGGTCATCGGGCCTGGAACTGAAAATTAATAGATAATAGAATTTTCTCAAGGGTTTTATCAAGGGATTATTAAGTATGAAGGAAATTGTTCAACGTCAACACACTTACTACAGTCGACCACCGAGCGCACTTTAAGATAGGCGATGGCAAGTCTCATCACACTGGCCTTATCTAAATGAGCCGCCTGTTCCGGTGTTACGGGAAGGGCGGCGGCTAGATCCGTGAAAATGTCCGTCTCTTTGCTTCGACGGTACCTTGCCGCATCGCGGGACTTCTCCTTCCTCTTCTCGTTGCTCCTGTAAAAAAAAAAAAATAGAAAAAAAATTATTTGATCGTTCCTTTCGATTTTAACATCCCCCTTGCTCAAAAGGGGCCGCAACTTGGATATTATTTTCTACGCGATGCTTCTAATATTCCGCTCGATAGCTAAATTTTCTTCACCTATATTGCGTAACACGATTGAATAACTGCGAAGCTATAAAAATTACGATCATGCCAGTAAGTAAAAGTCGCGACCCTGAAAGAATTATTTCTATATCTCGACGCTGGATCAAAATTGCATTCCACTTCGAGTGGTTGTCCGACTGTGTTTTGCTATCTGGTTCCTGTTTAAAATGTTGTGACGTTATAATTGTCTATAACAAGATATATATATATATATATATATATATATATANCATCAAATACGTGTTGTCACGTCTCGACTATCTCGAATGGTTGTTATCTCCTCTACAAAACGACCTTCGAACACTGCTCTTTTCTCCACTTTTTGAAAATATTTTCTCTCTACTACGATTCGAAGCTCCATTCTTACCGACCACGTTACCTCCTTCGAAATAATCCTCCTGAATAATTCTTCTTCTTCGTTTACTTGCATCGTTTAATTCTTCTAACGTGATTACGAAATAATTAAGAAATTAAATTCTCGATCGAAGAAACCTTACATAGTTATACCAGCCTTATTCGGCGTAAACTTAACGTTATTAAATTCTCCAAGATACAATATATAACGAAAAACCTTTAAAACCTTTCTTTTTTTTTATCTCCTAATGAACCGAATTAACTTACAAATAATCCTCGAGAATTTGTTCGTCCCCGTTATATCCCAAATCCTCGTAGACGCACGGTGGCAAAACCGGGATATTTTGTCCATAGGGGTAGATAGCGTCGTCGTAGAGGGGACAACGGTCGCTCGCCGGGCATTGGAGCCACCGTTCCTCCGTGCAAAAAGCGAACTGCTGTTGGGGACAGGTGTCGCAAAATCGCCCGTCGAGCCAATCGTCGTTGCGCATAGGCAAGTGAGCAAATTCGTTCGAGGGAAATTGCGACAATCGTTCGTCGCTCGTCGACGGATACGCGTTGTCGATCGATCTCGTTGCCCGACGAAAATTCGACGAGTTGATCGATGGCCGGGACGGGCAACCGGTCTGCGATTTCTCGGGCTCGAAGTAGAGGGCCAGATCCTCCACGTCGACCGGGCCCAACTGGCAATTCTTCCCTGCCCCTACATTCTGATGATGGCGAAACTGGGCGCCCTGGCACTGGGATTGCAAGTCGAGGGTAACGGATGGTCCCACGCACGGAAGGGGCGCGTGATAAGGTATCGTTCCAACGTTGGGGGATATTTGATGGCTCTCGTAAGCGGCTCTCCCCGTGAAGGCATAATGGTTGATCGGGAGGGGTTGCTGGATCGGCGTTGCTCGAGCGAATCGGCAG